ACCAGACTTCTAGGCAGAAAACTAAAACTCTAAAAAGGACACAGATGATCTCAATAAACAGAAAGACACTTAAAGATCTTGGAGGAGATGACTTCATATTCTAAGTGTCAATTTTCCCCAAATTAATCTATGCAATTCAATGCAATCCCAAATAAAAATTTTAAGTTTTTGAGGAACCTATCAAACTTATGTTAGAATTTATAGAAAAGAACAAATGTCCCAGGCAGCTAAGCCAACCCTCAAAAAGGAGAGTAAAGAGAGGAGACAAACTCCCAGATATTAAGACTTCTCTCAAAGTCATCATATTAAAACCAGAGAGGTATTTTGCACGAAACGAACAGACCAAGGACATAAAGAGCTGAGAGATAGAGCTCAGATATGCAAATGTAATACACAATAAAGCTGGCACCACAGTCAAAGAGGGAAAGAATGGGCTGTTTAGTAGATGTTGGTGGGAAAAACTGACTCTTCACATGGCTAAAAATAAAACTGGATCTTCATGAGAGACCATATAGAATGGTAGATATCAGCTGGACTAGAAATCTAAATGTGAAAGGCAAAATCATGAAGCCAAGAAAAGAAAATGTAGGTGCATGTCTTTGTGACATGGGTCAGACCAGCCATCTTTAAAACACAACTTGAAAATCATAAACCAGAAGGAAAAAAAAGATGAATTTGAATATATAAAAGTAAGGCTTTATAGTCAAGGAAGCATCTCACACATAATATTAACAGACGAATGACAAGATGGGAAGTTATATTTAAAATGTCTACAACTAACAAGGGATTAATATCTAGAGTATAGAAGGAACTTTACAAATCAACAAGAAATGGCAACTACAGAAAAATGGGTGAAGGACGTGAATAGGCAAAACAGAAGAGGATTCCCCACAGGTACAGGAAGAGATGCTCAAACTCATTAATTATCAGAGAAATGCAAAGTGAAACAACAATGAGCTGTCATTTTACAGCTATAAGATTGACAAAAAATTAGAAAGCTGAATAATGGCAAGAGTCGGCAGGGATGGAGAAATCCTCACGTCAGGCTGGTGAGCCGATGGACTGACCACTCTGGAGAACAATATGAGAGCACTTCCTCAAACTAAGCAATACACACATCCTTGACCAAGCAGCAACTCTCCTTGTGGGTATATCCCACAGACATGCTCACACAGGGGGATGTGTACAAAGATGTTCACTGTGGTAGTGTTAGTGGTGATGAGGAGTTGGAGGCATGAGGAAATGGAATGCATGTCCGTGAAAACAGATACACAGTGTTACACACCAAGGAAAGTGCAGCAGACAGAAGTCACAGTCTAGAAGCAGACAGAGGGATATGGATGGCTCCTAACACAACACTGAGGGAGCAAAGCAAGAAACAGAACAAGATATATAACCATTTATAAAACTTAAAAACACAGGTAGATAGAAGATACACACAGTTCAAGAATACAGTCTAAAAGGACCCATGAGAATGATGGCCTATGGGGGAGGAAAGGAATAGGAGTTGGGAAAACAATGAAAAGGGAATGAATGAATGAATGAATGAATGTGATGATAACATGCCAAAAACTGGGGGGTGTGATTAATTCAGTCCCTCTATGCCTGCGATTCAAATAGAGAACAGAGAAGAAAAGAGGAGAAGAGAAAGACTGCAAAGAAACGTGCATGTACTTATCTGCTGCCGTCCTCTCCCTGGTAACTGGGCCATTTGGAAAATACCAGCAGCTGAGAGACATTATTTATGGCCCTGTCTTATATCCCACATGCACTGGATGTCCTGAGAGAAACTTCAAGATGAAAGCAACAAATTTAGAAGTGTCCCCAAAGGAATTCCTTTTTGCTAACTGCTCCTCCAAAACATTTTGGCTCTGTGATAAAATGTTGACATTCAAATTCCCACCAAAACATTTTCTAGAAAGGAAAATTCTAGACATGTGGAATTTGGACACTAAAGGTGAAAAGAGCAATGGCCCACTCAAATTCATATCAGACTGACTTCTTACCTTTAAAAGAGTTTTGACTGTGGTATAAACAGAAAGAAAGCTGCAGAACGGTCAGCCCCTGGGGACTAGTGCCACCTGTGGCAGATAAGCCCCGTGGGTGGGTGTGGGGTGAAACTGCAAATTACTGCAATTAAATGATAGTAAAAGTACAAGCACTTCAGAGGAGACATGGTGTGATGTGAAAAAGGTGTCCTAATGCCAGAGAGAGTGAGGAAGCTCCAACCCAGAACACTACTCTGGTTTTGCCAGCTTGGAAATGAGTGAACAGAACATCTGTTAGAATAATAATACCCTAGAAAAAGAATTTCTATCTAAAATACTCCTGAAAAAGTGGCCGATATATTTTAACTCATCTTCTTCTCTCCTGCTTGCTAAATGAAAGGGTAAGCAATTGAAGAATCATCAGAGACTTGAGGCAGCCAACTCTCCGTGCTCTGTGAGTAATGGGATACCGAAAGCAAAATGTTACAAGTGTCTATGTTTTCCAAAATGGAACTTTCTGTACTGCTCTTTTCCTAAGGAGGTAGAATATTCTCATGGTTAACAACAGTAGAGCCTTTAGAGTTAGAACTCAGATTAAATCGTGTTTCCTGAGTTTTACTAGCCTCAATTTCCTAATCTACAGCGTAGGTCAAAAGCACCCATCTCACAGTGTTGCAAGCATTAAATGAGCTAATGTGCATAAAACATCCTGAATCATAGTCAGCTATCTATTCGTAGCTATTATTGTAAAATATATGCTCAGTGTAGACAGTGCAAAGTACAGAGAAGTATCTGAAGTAGAAGGTCAGTGTCTCCCAATAATCCACCCTCCATCTTGATGAAGAGGTTGATGATAAATGTATTTCCAGACTTTTTTCTACCAAAATATCTAGATGAATCAAATAATTTATTTTATTAAATACTGTTCTCTAACCTGATTTTTTCAAAAACTCATTTATCAATATACTGTGGGCACCATTTCCACAAATATACCTAGATCTCTTATTATTTTTAAAGACTACATTGTAGTCTATGATATTTTTCATCAGCTTCATAGTGTACATTTAGACTGTCTCTAATTCTTTGCTTTTTTTACCAATGCTCCAGTGAACATTTTTGCACAAACATCTTTACACTCTAGTCTATTCTTTTAGGACAAATTGTTGGGTCAAAGGATATTCACTTTGTAAAGGCTTCTAATACATATTCCCAAAAGGCCTTACAGAATGTTAGAACCAGCTCGTATGCCCACCAATAGAATCAGGGTCATCTTTCAAATCTATTGGCACTTATCTCAAACAGAGAGGAGCAGATTCATAAGATCACAAGTTACAAGCAAATTTCTGGTCAGGAGTCTCCATTCGTATGTATGTCAGCCCCTACAGTTCTTGGGTCCTTTATTATGGAATTAGTGTGTCCCAGGTTGGGGCACAGTATGGGCATCTGTTATTTTAGCCTGCTTAGCTTCTAACCCTCTCTTGTCCTGGTGGGTTACCTGATTTCCCTCTGGCAAATTACCCTGCTCCCATTTTATGCAGTACTCTTGAAACTGTCAATCAAAGTGTGTTTGTCTTCCTCTGGGTGGGCCCAAGCTAGACCAACATGACGCTATCTTTCCTGGGAATCTGAATCAGAAGAGGGAGGCAAGAACTAAAAACAGTTTAGAGCTTTATCACCCTGCAAATATTATCCAAAAGAACCTTTCTCATCGGTTCCTGGGTCTCCAAAGCTGGTCTCTGTTCAAGCCTGGTTCTTCAGCTCTCCCTACCTTACTGTGAGTGACCCTACAGCCTTCCATATTCCTTCATTATTATTACTGTTGTTTTTGCCATTGTTATTTTAGCCCAAGTTAGCCAGAGTTGATTTCAAATGCTCTAAAACAATCCCACCTGGTACAGAGGAGGGAAAATGACTTGTTTCCTTGAATATTTACTTGAAAAAATTTCCCTTTGTTCAATTCTTGAGGAAAAGACAAAGAAATATTATTTCCTGTGCTACAGGTCTCTTAACCTACCAACAGCTAACTATTCCAAATTACTTAATATTTTATCTAAAAACTCCTGGTAAAATTTGTATTTTGGAAAGAATGAAAGAAGGAAAATCTCTGTCCCATAATGGATTTCACACACAAAAATAGCTCATCCTTTTGTCCACATGGAGAGGCTCTGTTTTACTGATTTTTCTGACCCTACTGGAACTCGTGGCAGGGCTATCTGAATTTTTTTCCAAGTGGATTTTACAAAGTAAATCTGAGGCAAAGGGACAGAATTTCCTTTGCACTCTTCTAGCAACCTGGAATGAATTTATTTTTCCTCCTATGCACCAAGGAGATACTCAGCCCAAAGGCTCTAGCAGTGGCAGTTTCACTTTAATCCCATCATTTTTACAAGGTTACAGGTGCCCTTGGAAATCTTGATTAACCAGAGTGCTCAGAGCCAGTAGCAAGGGACATGTGCTGCATATTCCACAGAGACGGCCCAGGGCCACTCCCATCAAAGAGGAATATTATCACTGAGTTCCCCAGCTCACTCTTTTCTCTCCAAAGAGGCAACAAAGAACACAGAGTTACTAAGTGATCACTAACATAGTTATTGCCTCTCCAGTCCTTTGAGCAAGACTGTAGAGGAGGCAAAGTCAATTCTGGCTTTCCCACAGGACAGGGCTCTTGGGGAGCTGGGTATTACTGGATTAAGCGACTTCTAAGTGCTGATTGGAGCTACCTTCTTAAGAAGACCTAGGATCAACTGAGATAATACACATGAAAACGCCTTGTAAAGTGTGAAGGGTTATATAACGCAAGGTGTTCTTACGGCCTTGCCAGTCAGGTCACTGAATGTCCTGGAGTCACTGACGTGGTAAGTCAGGGTGGAAGCGTCGTCGAAGGCTGTTCTCGGGAAAAGGGGCGACCCAACATGCCCACAGCACCTCCTGGTGGTTCTTCCCAGGAGTAGCAACTTCTCAAAGCCCAGTCCCAACACCAGCTGTAGAAAATTATCCAAGCAACGTACTTACTCCCTTCGCTTTGACTGTCTTTGTTCGAGTTGTAGACCTGGAAAATAGAAATAAACACTTATTTGTGTGCATTTTGTACCACCCTACAGGTTCACTGAAGAAAACATTACCTTCCCTCTTTCCCTAGTTTGTGCTGTGAGACAGAAGGCAATTTCTTGCCCCCAAACAGGAATCTTATAATTAGCTACTTCCCAGTATTTAATTCAGCTGTTCTTAAGTGTGTGCACATCAGACTCACCCGTGGAACTTGACTGTAAAAAAACTATAGTCTTTCTTTTTAAAAAAAACTAACTTATGTGTGTATATAAACTAAAAAGGAAAAAAAATTAATTACAAATCATTAAACATTAACTGCACACCAGGCAATGTGCTAAGCAATTCACATGAATTCTCACAATTATCCACACAATTCTGTTGGGTAGGAACTGTTATTATCACTGTTTTACACATGGAGAATTTGAGACTCAGAGAGGTTAACTGAGGTCTCACAGCTGGGAAGTCGCAGTCAGGACAATTGTACACTATAACTCGTTAAGTGTTAACACTAGAAAAAAGGACCAACTACTTTTACTTTACATACTTTTGTAAATTTGAATGTTACAGGAGAACATATTCATTTATAATAAAAACTCCTCAAACAATTTACAGAAATCATAAAAGGGAAGATGCCCCAACACAGAAAAAGGGAAAGTGCCCAATATAAAACAGACAACGACATATTGCAAGAGTGGGTAAGCTTTTTCTGTAAAGGTCCAGATAGTAAATATTTTAGGCTTTGTAGGCCAAGAGGCAAAAATCAATGATATTATGTAGGTACTTGTATAACAAAATTCCACAAAACTTTCGTTGACAAAACTCAAAATACAATAATTTTTCAAAATAGGTATAATATTCCCAGCAGGTGAAAAATTCCGTTTAGAGTTTCGTAGCTCTCTTTTCAGAGATGCTTGGCTCAGTTCCTCTGGGGGTTAAATATGTGGTTCTCAACCAAGAGTAGCCATCAGAATCACCTAGAAGGGCCGGCCTAGTGGCACAGCGATTAAGTGCGCACGTTCCACATCGGCGGCCCGGGGCTAGCTGGTTCGGATGCCGGGTGAGGACATGGCACCGCATGGCAAGCCATGCTGTGGCAGGCGTCCCACATATAAAGTGGAGGAAGATGGGCACGGATGTTAGCTCAGAGCCAGTCTTCCTCGGAAAAAAGAGAAGGATTGGAAAATGTTAGCTCAGGGCTAATCTTCCTTAAAAAAAAAAATCACTTAGAATTTTTTTTTTAACTTATGATGACCAGCTTCAACCTCTGCCTTTTTATACCTACACAATCGTAATCAAAGAAAGATTTGGGCATTATCATTTTTATCTAAAGCAGAGGCTTTATCTTATTAATAATGTCAGCATATCAGGGATTGGCAAATGATGGCCCTCAGGCTGATCCAGCTCCCACCTGCTTTCGCATAGCCCGTGAGCTAGACGTGGTATTTACAGATGAACATTTGCAATTGATTTATTGATAGGGAATCCTAACTTTGAACCCTAATTAAGTTAAATATTATCCTCACTCTAAAAATAAATTCCATTCTTCTGATTAGTAGACCCACGTTTCAAAAAACTATATTCCTTGGAAAAGATACTCTTTCTGTACCAGAGGAACACGGTTGCCCATTCTCCCTTGGCAGTGGGAGACACAAATGAAGATTTGGACTAGATCATAGTTTTCCAATTGAACCCCAGAGCACCCACATGATGACTGCCAAAGGGGTTGGGAGAGAAGCTGAGACTCCAGGTATCCAAATGTCCCCTTCCTTTCACTTTTATTGGTTTTATTCATGTGACTATCAAATAAGGGGATACTGGCTTTGAAAAGTTTGAAGACCTCTTGAATGGATAATTTCTAAAGTTCTTTGCAATTCATTAATTTGTTTATTTGTTTATTGTGTGCCAGGCAATGCTCTAAGGGCTGGGGCTACAGATGAACACAACAACTATGATCTCTACTCTCATGGAACTTGCCTACCAGTGGAGAGAAGAGAAATAAACAGATACACAAATATGATTATTTCAAATATTGATGAATGCAACGGAGAAATGAGAGAGGCTCCTGTGGACCTGACGTGGGGAAAAGCTCTCTCAAGAGGTAACATTTTCTTGAGACCAGAATGATGAGAGAGGAGGTCCTTGGGAAGACCTGGAGGCCAGTGTCCACAGCAAGCGCAGGTCATTGAGATGGGAAAGGCACAGCCTTTTGAAGGGAGGAAGGCCACTGGGGTTGGCAGTCAGTGCACAGTAGAGAAGGGTCGGAGGTGAGGGTGGCGCAGAGGGTCAACAAGGAGATCTTGCAGGATCTTGTGACGTGTGAGTAAAACGGGTGGCCTCATAATAGCTAGGACCAGTGATCCATGATGAACGGTGTGCACTAATCTGGGAAAGCTGGGGAAGGGGGGGCAGGGGAATAGACCATATTTTGGCAAGTATTTTTTTCAGCCATCCCTGATCACTTCTTTCCTCCCATTAAATGTCCCAGAGAAACTTGCTGCTTTTTACGAACAGCAAAATCCAGAAGAATTAGCAAAATGCAGGGCTCTCAGCCCTCTTGAATTAGGAGGCAAGTTTGCACCAAACTACTATCCTTCAATGTTCTCTGGGTCTCAGGAGGCCCCTGCCTGGAACATTCAAGCATTCCCCAAATTGGAGAGGCGTGGTCAATGAGCCAAAGGCACCAAAAACATGTGCCGCCCTATCCTCTGAGGCCAGGTCATTAATCTCTGTCTGGTTTAGGTAAATGAGCCAGAGAGAATGAGTTTTGAAATGAAGCTAACAAACCATGCCTGCCAGGAATGCGTGACTACACGGCCCAATCAGGAAGGCCCAGGGTGGGGGAGCAGTCTTACCACCACACAGGCCAGATGGTGGCCTGGTAAGAGGAAGGAGAAGGAGGGTGAGGAAAGCCTTCACATGCTTCCTCTGCACTAAGAGGGCTAACACCACTAAGAGGGAATGGCTTTGCTTACTGAGCATTTACCAAGTACGACATGACCATCTAGTCCTTGTAACTACCCTATGCATTAGCTACTAGTATTATTCCCATTTTACAGATGTGGAAACTGAGGCCCAGAAAGGTTACATAGACTGTCCAAGGACACAGAGCTGGTAAGTGGTATATCCTTCTATCTTGCCTCTACAGGGATGTTCCAATCCTCTTTTACTTTTCTAGGCCGTGGCAAATACACACAACTACCAAGCCACACCAGCAGTCTATGGTGTTCATAAATACCTTCTGTACTGGCAGAAGTGAAGGGCATGCAACTTGTCCTTCAGAAATGGTCAGTCTCTTCTCAGGAAATCTTCTATAATTGCCCACTAGTGACAGACTTAGTTCAGAGGCAAAGGCAATTTCCTAAAATAAAAGGTCTCTTTGGCTATGGCTTCTGTCTAATGATTAGCAGAGTTACCTCAGATTTATATGCTTTCAAGTAAGCCTCTCAAGAGCCTTTGTCTTGAAAGGATAGATCCCAGCTCTCCAGGACCAATTCAAGGGGACAGGAGTGACTAAACAATTCCTGAATTATGGCTCCTTCTCAACAACCCAACTTAAGCTAAAGTCATCCGTCCTGGTTAGCCAGAGTACTCTAAGACCTGGCCACACTCAAGTTTTAGCCCTCTGGCTTTATATACTTTGATACAGGTATGCACTAGCTTCTGCTGAATACTGTACAGGAAGATTTGTTAAATATCCACGCCAATGAATATTTGTTTTTAAGTGTATGCTTCTAGAGAAGAGAAATTACATGTGTTTATCTTATCAGGGTCCATCTGAGAGTCATTATGAAATAATTACAACACCAAGAATAAATTAATAAAAGCGATAATAACTAAAGTCTTGGTACGTGTCAGGCACTATGCCAAGCATCCTATATGCATTATCTTGTTTAGTCCTCACACCAGCCTAATTATTCCCATTATATAGACGGGAAAAATGAGGCAGTAGAGAGGTTAGGTCACTCGCCCAAGGTTAGGCAGCTGGCAATGGGCAGAATCTAGACAGGAACTCCTATAGTCTGTCTCCAGAGCCCAAGCTCTTAACCACTAACCACATGATAAATAAGACATTGTGATGATGATGATGATGATGATGATGAAGGTGATGAGATGTTGTGGGCAGCTAGGGAAGATGAGTCATTGGAAGAAAGAATTTGCCACGAGTCAGAGAGAAAATGAAACTGGGAACAGCCTTCTGATTCCAGCCTGAAGCACTCACCACTAACCCATGAAACCAACTGGCATCAAACACTGAAGTAACACTTCATATTCTCTTCGAACCACAGGGCTCGATCATGAAGATAAACACCAGCACAGGAAAGTGGGTCTTTGATACAGATCACAGGGCACCGCAATTCTGAGTCCTCACCCAGAAGCTACAAAGGGAGTACAATTTAATAAATCAAAGGAGGGTGAGGAAAGCCTTCATATGCTTCCTCTGCACTAAGATGTGATTTTGCAATAAATTCTGGTCACTGCTGAGCCAATTCAATTTACATGTCCTGAGAGAATTAAGGGAGAATACAGAGACATTTGGATTCCTAGAATTTTTCTAGGGGTAACCTTTATTACCATTATCCAGGCCTTACTGAGAAAGCCCAGAAAGAAATATTTTTTAACTTATAAATTAAAGGCATAAAGAAGCAATCATTATACAAAACAATCTCACTTTTCCCTCTGACACAGCTGCATTAGTACTTGGCCACATGACACTTTTGATTAAAATCTGCACAAAATGAAGGTGTTAGAGAAATAGGTTCATAGGGAAATTTACTTAAAACTGCTGCTCTGATCTAAACTGCACTTGAACTCACAGCTAAGCTCTCTAATTCTGGAGGTCTCTTCCAAGCTGGGACATCTAACCCCCTCCCACCTGGCTGTTCTCCTGATATGCCAATATGGAGACACACGAAACAGAACTATGTGCCAACACCTTACAGCACTGCACACACTGGTTCCACACCACTGGATATCATTTCGTCCCTTCTCTCTGTGTAACAC